TTATCTCTGGCCTGGAAGGAGGGGTGACATCCTGAACTGCCCAGAAGATCATTAATTGAAATTATCTAAACCTGGCTCCAGGATCCCTGGACCTTATAAAATTATTATGTGTAGGAGGCATTCTGATAAAGAGCAGAGGTATACCATTACCCCCTCTTGGAAGAGTCCAAACGAGCCTGTCAATCACCTTAACAGGAAGGCACCCCTAAGGAAAGCTATTCCAGAGACAGCTTTAGAAATAATATAGAGTCTACCTAAAATGTAATTCAGCAAAATAGTTTCTCTTACTGTTGTCACTCTTTCTACTTGAGAGTGTGTCCTACAAAAATCCCCTTGGTCACTGTCCTTTCTCTACTCTGTAATAGACACTATCTGTCTTCTATAATACATTGTGTGCATCTCATCCAAATTCTTTTGATGAGGATCACAAGGACAGAAAACAGGAGCCAAGGAGTGGAGAGGGGGCAGATCTAAGTGACCATCACTCTTCTTGGGATTTGGAGCCATTGTTAAGTAAAATAAGGCTTGCTTGGACTGAATGGCTACTGAGTGATTTAGGAGCAGGCAGAGGACAGTGTAGGACCAAAAGACTGATTTAAGTCACCAGTGGCTCAGAGTGCTAAGAGGTGAGGTTTCATTATGCTACTCAGAACAAGGCACAATCTAAAACTAATTGTTTATTTCTGGAATTTTCCATGTCAATGTTTTTGGACCTTGGTTAACCATGAGCAATGGAAACTTCAGAAAGCAAGGCTAGAGAAGGGGACATTACTGTAGCTTACAAGTTAGGTGGTTTTATTGCTTTCCCAATACACAGATGAGAAGACTCAAGGCTGGGACTGAGTGAAGAGGGCCAGGGATTCAGCAGGGTTTACAGAAAGCAGGTGAGCATGTGGACACAGAGCTGAGGCCCTCTGCATGAAATGAGTATTCTTTTTTTTTTTTTTTTTTTTTTTTTCTTCCCCGAGACAGGGTTTCTCTGTATTACTTTGGAGGTTTCCTATAACTCACAAGTCACTCTGTAGTCCAGGCTGGCCTCAAACTCACAGAGATCCACCTGCCTCTGCCTCCTGAGTGCTGGGATTAAAGGAGTACACCACCACCACCCGGCTGAAATGAGTATTCTTAATACTCACTTTGAGGAATGCAAAGAAAAAGGACGGGGCTACCTTGGCAAATCTTTTTTGTTGTTGTTTTCTTTTTTTGTGGGAAGTATACTGGGGGAATGGAAGAGAGTAGGAGAAGGTGAAGGGAGAGAAGGAGGACAGAGAGAGAGAGAGAGAGAGAGAGAGAGAGAGAGAGAGAGAGAGAGAGAGAGAGAGAGAAGGAAGGAAGGAAGGAGACAGAGAGAAAGAGAAAAATAGAGACAGAGAGCTGTCTGCCTCGTCAGAGAAACAGCAGGAGGAAAGATCTGTTGTTTTTTTCTAAACTGGTAACAAATTAAGTAAATGTAAAAACCTAAAGGAAGAAGAAACTACTAGGTGTTGCTAGAGATTTTAGAGTCAAAGTCTGGGTCCTGGCAGCCATAACAAGCTAGGCTTAGCTACTGGGTCTTAATATGCCAATTAAACAGACATGTAATAGGACCTGGTATGGCGATGCCCAACTTTAATTCCAGCACCCAGGAAGCAGAGGCAGGAGGATCTCTGGGAGTGCCAGGCCAGCCTGGTCCATAAAGTGAACCCCAGGTTAGTCAGGGCTACATAGTGAGACTCAGTCTCAGAGAGGAGGGATGGGGGGATGGGGGGAGGGAGGGAGTTAGAGAGAGAGAGAGAGAGAGAGAGAGCGAGAGAGAGACCTCATGGGGAAGAGGAACAAATGAATAAAGGGGTCATCTGTCCCCAAGTTCATCTTCAGGGTCCTAATTTCAGGGTTTTAGGTTTAAATAGAGAGCAAGAAGTATGCGTAACTGTCCTAATTAGGTTTCTGTTGCTGTGATAAAACATTGAACAAACCTAACCTGGGGGAGGAAAGACTTTTTTTGGCTTACACATCCAAGGTCACAGACCATCACTAAGAAGTTAGGGCAGGAACTGAAACAGGAAGAGAGGCAAGGATCATGGAATGCTTACTGCCTTGCTGCCCATGACTTGCTCAGGCTGTGTGTGTGTGTGTGTGTGTGTGTGTGTGTGTGTGTGTGTGTGTGTGTGTGTGTGTGTTTTAAGACAGAATTTCTCTGTGCAAGAGCTCTGGTTCTCCTGGAACTCACTGTAGACCAGGATGGTCTCGAACTCACAGAGATCTGCCTGCCTTTGCCTCCTGGGTGCTGGGATTAAAGGTGTGCCACCACTGCCCATCTCATCCTGCTTTCTTATACAACCCAGGACCACCCACCCAGGAATGACAGTTGCACATCAATCATTAATCAAGAAAATGATCCTGCAGAGTTGCCTATAGACAAATTTGATGAAGGCCCTTCCTCAACTGAGGTTTCTCTTTCCAGGGAACTCTAATTTGTGTGAAGATGACAAACTAACCAACACAATAAATAGCTAAACAGTCCCACTCTGGGTGTCTTCCCAACCATTACTGATTCGTAAATGGTTCAGTCTCTGTCCAGAAATATAGTCTGATTAGTTGTGACATCTGTCATTTTTGTTGTTGGTTTTTTTCCCCCTGAGGCAGGGTTTCTCTGTGGCTTTGGAGCCTGTCCTGAAACTAGCTCTTGAAGACCAGGCTGGCCTTGAACTCACAGAGATCTTCCTGCCTCTGCCTCCTGAGTGCTTGAATTAAAAGCATGCACCACCACCACCCAGCCTGTGTGAAATTTTGTTCCAGGGAAGCAAGTTCCTCCTTTTAGCTGACACCAGGACTTTATCCTTCTCCTCTATAGCATGGAATTCTTGATGAAATTCCAATTTCTTGGAGTTATTGTTTCAATAATCTGATAGCCAAGGGGATGGGCACATGTGTCTCTTTTGAATATCCTCTTTCCAGCCAGGATGGTTATATAGAGACCTTGACCAAGCTGTCTCCGCTCTCTTAGACTCTATTCAGATATCTGCAGAGTGAGTTGAAGTCCAACAGGGTTGTTGTGAGGAAAATCTGTAATGATGAATTTGAGCTGTGCTTGGAAATGCTGAGAATGTAGCTGAGCAGTAGGACACTTACCTTGCTTGTCGGGCCCTGGTTACATTCCCAGCACTGAAAACATGTTGTGAGGGGGCCACTATAGTCCCTAATCACACTCAAAATTTTTACTACATTTGCTCATTTTATTTCATGTGTGCTTTGCCTGAATGTATATATTGCACTACATGTGTGATTGGTACTTGGGAGGGTGGGAAGAGGCCATCAGATCTTCCAGAACTGGAGTTACAGATGGCTGTGAGCCACCATGTGAATGCTGGGTACTGAACCTGAGTCCTGTGCAATAGGAGTCAGCGCTCTTGACCACTGAGCCATCTCTCCAGCCCCTTATTCAACTTCTCAACCAGGGCAATGAGTGTACAAGTATATCCAGTTTGTGATCATCCATCCATTCCTTCATTCCTCATCCCCTCTTGCCCATCTTCTCTTGGAACACTACCAAAACCCACCTTTTCTTGTCCCCTTGTACCCTCACTTCATTAAGATTATAATCTTAAATCCTGTGTTTATAACTCACTTGAATTTTATTCTGTTTCAACTTTCAGAATTCCTACACACTGTAATCAATCCACAATATCACCACTACCTTTTTTAAATTTTCTTTCTTTTTGTTTTGTTTTGTTTTGTTTGTCTTTTTGAAACAGGGTTTCTCTGTGTAGCACTGGCTGTAGTGGAACACACTCTGTAGACCACAGAGATCCTCCTGTGTCTGCCTCCTAAGTGCTGGGATTAAAGGTGTGTGCCACCTCCTCCTGGCTCATGGTTACCTTTATAAGTTACTCTGAGTTTTATTTTAGTTCATTTTTTACAATTTTGAACCTCCCAAGACTCATATTTAGGACCTAGCACAAAGACATAAAAGAGCAAGAACCAAATGTTCCCCAAACTTCAGTTACTCACTTATCACCTTCAAGATTTTACCAGGTTCATTAATCTCCATGATTTGCAAAAATCACATTCATAAATCTATTTTCCCAAGATGCTTCATTCTGGGTACTTCCCACTGGCTCTGGGGCTATTTCCCAAACCCTTATTTTGGTCTCAGTTTGGTTGCATTGGAGACTTGTTACATTCCACAATGAGCTGCAAAGCCCAAATAGGGGTTTCACCATGTTGCGGGATATTGTTTTTTTTTTGGGGGGGGGGTTGCAATTTCTCCCTCAGTAGGTCAATAGTCTGAGGAATGTTTGTGGATTTGCTGAGGATTGAAGACACCTTTGACAAGCCGGGTCCCTGGAGCTTTCAGTCCCTGAAGTTACCAGTGTGCCCTTTCCTTTTTTTGTGTCTACACCTCTTCATTTTGCATGACCTAGTCCACATGTCATCTCCTCTGGCAAGTACACACCAGCCCTTCCAGACGGAAGCATTTTTCTCTGATTCGTCTTCAACTCTGTTAACTCTTCTCTTTATTGTCAGTCGCCCCTCCTAGGTGACTTAGGCACCTTGCTTCTACCATTAGCACAGGGCTTGGCTTGGGCAGAGCAGATCCCTGGGAAGTGTTGACAGAATGCCTAAGTGACAGTTGGATGAGGGTGTATGTGGATGGATGTGTGAATGGGTCCCATTTTAGACTTCTTGTCCCCAAATCAGAAAGCTCTGACCCACCCCCACAATGCCCTGTGGCTGTGATTATGACAGACAGGACCCCTGTCCCTGTGTCTAATGACATCAGCACTGAACAGTCTTATTACTCGTGACTTACAGCTGTCTGGCTCCAGCAGACTTGATTCCAGGACCGATGGCCCTAGCTTACTGCCAGGCTGTGGAGCTGGAACAGGCTGCTGAGACAGCACCACCTGCCCCTTGTCACTTATCCCACAGGGCTGCAGCACTCGCGACAGGCTGCTGCATAAGTGTGTGTGAGCGCGCGCATGCGGCGCGCGCATGGATTTTCTGTGGGACATGAAAAGAGCCTTCTCATTGGCTGCCGAGGGTCCCAGTTCCAGTCTGTGAATCTCTGGGCTGCTGCCTCTGCTCTCCCCTGGGAAGGCAAAGCAGGCAAGGGCGGGGAGAGTGGAGTGAGGCTTCAGGTGTGTCTGACAAGGAAGCAGGTACGCCTGGTGGCCGCATTGGGCATTCCAGAGGCATCTGGATGTGCTAGCGCCAAGCCTGCAACCTGGAAGCCTCGTGCTCTGCCCAAATTTCTTCAGGTTTCTCTTAGGACTGGAGCCCAGAACCCACTGGCAGCTGTCACAGAACTGGATCCGTCCCCCAGTGGAACAGGGAACGGTGTCACTTAGAATTCCTGGGTAGCACATTCCTTCACTGGTCCTTGTCACACTCATGGATGAGGCTGTTATTGGTCCCTCGCTCCTGCAAGCTTCTGCAGATCCAGAGAGCAAGCGGCAGCAGGAATGACAGCTCTGAGAGCAGAGGCAGCCAGGGACAGTAAGGGCAAACGAGTCGGGTCCCGGGGGTTGCGGGGGCTGGCCCCATGTGCAGATTCAGATGAGGTGGGGCTTGCGCTCAGGGTTTGCTAGGGTTCTTTTTTGGAACCTGGGCTGCTAGACCTGACAGGAGCTCTGAGCAAGGGGGAGGGGATAGAGAGGGAGGAAGGGAACGAGGGAGGGGAGAGAGAGAGAGAGGGAGAGAGAGAGGGAGAGAGAGCCCTAGCAGGCGCTAGCCCAAGTGAGAGGTTCAGATTTGGACAATACTGTGCCAAGGGCACAAGTGGGATTTGGAAGAGCCATGTGTGTAAGAAGCAAAGCTGAGGTGATGTAAGCACCTGGGGAGGAGCACAGGTCGAGGAGGAGGAAGAGGAGGAGGAGGAGAAGGAGGAGAAGGAGGAGGAGGCGGTGGCGCGGCGGCCGCGGTGGCTGCTAGTCCAGAACAGAATGATGGGCAACTCTCACCACAAGCAACCGAGGAGTAAGAGCCAAAGCAGCAGGATGCATTCAGCAACAGGTACTCTCTTTCCTTCCCTCCTTTTCCCCGGGCTTCTCTAGCCTGGGCCTCCCTGGCTCACAGGGCCCCTGACCCTTGGCGTGACTTGCAGGGGCTGGCAGGGGGGCGGGGAGAAAGCCTGAGGGAGATACGGGTGAACTCCCAGCTTCTCTGCTTCAGTACCAAGCTGAATTGCATAAGTCTGAGCTCCCTGAGCAGGCAGGAGCTGGCTCTTTCGCCAGCAACTCCATGAAGCCTCTGGAGGGTGGCTGGAGCGCCAAAGGCTGAAGTTTATTGCTAGCACAGTGCTTTCTCCCTGGAGCCATGCATGGCTTATCCTTCAGGAGTCTCCTTTGTTATTCAAACCTCCGGCTCTCCCAGCCCCCAGCCCCGCCCCACACGTGTACACCTACACCTCTCTGGGCTCTACCTCAGCTGCTCCGAGTGAGCCAGATGAAGCTCTTTCTTGCTGTGTAATGCCCTGCCCCCCACCTCCCGGCCCCAGCCCTTACTGAGCTCCTCTCCCTGCATGGACCGAGGGGAGCTTTGGACAGCCTGAAGTCTGTTGCCCTCCTACTTTCAATGTGCTCTTCTTTGCCCTCTGTGTCTCTCCAGGGGTGGACTCAAGGGTGTTGGCATAGTTTCCCCCATCAACTTCTTCCTAAATCCTTCACTGTGGAGATTAGGGTCTGCAAACAACTTTTGCTAGCTTGCCTTTGTAAGGCACTGCAAAAGCACTATGCAAGGAAAGTCGCCCTTGTTCTATTCATACCCCCCACCAACTTAACTTTTAGCCTCCTTCCCCCTTTTTAGAACCTGGACCTCAGACATTTCAGGAAAAGTACATTACCGATGAGTTGCACCCCCCCAGTCCTCCTCTCTTGGCAGCACCCCATTTTTCCTCCCCTTCACACAGAGTCCCAGAGGAGCCCAGAGTTCCCTTTGTGCCCATTTGGGAAGCTTTCATCCGCTATCCAGGTCAATGGGAAGAAAAGGGAAGTTTCTGCCAAGTGTAACTCAAGTTTACTGCAGAAAGTAGTAGATGGGTCAGTGCCATTCTGAAAGCATGTCATGTTCAGACACAGAGGATGCCTCTGTTTCTGGAGCTCGGCTGGCTGTGCATCTGACAGTAGTTGTCCAAGGCCAGTCATAGTGGCAGCTCTAGAAGAAGAGGAGCTCACAGGCTATTTGTGGGGGAACAGCTACAAGAAGGTCAAGAGGCTGATGAGCCCCACTCCTGGAGCCTGCTAGGAAGAGTATTGCTTTGGACTTCTGGGTAGGCTGAATTGGCTCCTTTGGTGGACTAAGGCAAGGACAAGATTCTGAGTATTGGGCTTTGTAATTTTCTGAGAACACAGTCTTTTAAGGCTATTGTCAGCAGGCAAATGGCTCAGCCACCACCTCATAGCATCTCTCTTCTCTGTCGTGGAGCTGGAGGCTCAGGAACTGCTGGCATTACACAGAGATGCTTTGCACAGCTTTGTCCAGGAACTGGAGGATAGCTTTCCACTTGCTAATGTTCAAAATTTGGTCAGTTACTGGCTGTTGTTCCATTTTTACCAGTTGTTTTGTGTGTTCAATGCCTGTCCCAACCGAGGGTCATCCTGGAGGCAGTAGCTGTCAGAGCAGCCTCTGGCAGCATGAGGAGGTACCCTCATGACCATTTCTCCTTCCCTAATACTCTCTACCTCCTGACACAGCACATTTTTCTATCTCCAGGCAGCCCCAGAAGCCTCCAGGGAAAACTCACTACCACTGGGAAGACTCGAAGAGTTAGTGTTCAGTTCCCCATCCCTTGCAGTATACAGCCTCACAGGCTGCACAGAGAGGGAGAAAGAAACAAGCAATCAACCATGCTCTCAGAGAAAAGCTGAGACCCTACCTGTGGGAAATCCTGCAGTGAGCAGGCAAGATTTTATGGAGGGAAAAAGCCATCCTTCCTTCTCCTATCATTAAATGAAAATGACCTGTCTGTCCTCAGAGTTCTGTCTTAGGCTACCCCGAGGAAACTACCTCTATAGGCTTGACCTCTGTACCTCTGTCTGCTGGCAAGACTAACATAACCCACTGCTCCAGCTCCAACCTGATGTCCCATGAGCACCCTACACTCAGCTGAGCTTAGCTTGCTCCATCCTTCGCCTTCTTGTTTCCCTTTCTCCCATTTTTCTTTTAATGGCATCAGCATCCTTCTAGGAAACCAAACTAAAAACCTTCATTCTCTCTCCTTGATCTCACACCATTTTCCTTTGTGTATCCCCCCACAAACTCTACCCAACAATTATTTGTTGCTAAGACTTCCTCTGAGACATAGTCCCTGCTCCTCTTGTCCACTGTCAATGTCCAGCTTGTCTGGACACAGGGATGATTCCTGGCCTTTACCTCAGACCTTTTCCTAGCTAACCTCATAGCCACCATAGTACTTTCTTGCTGTGACTCCAAATCTCACTAACTTCAGAGTGGGGATATCAAGATTGTCTCCCTGCTGTGGAGGTAGATCCCAAATGACCTGAGGATTATCATGGATGATGGAGAGAAAACTTCTTACCTTTCAGTTCTGTATGTATTTTAATGCACATTAGAAAAGTCTACATAGTATATCATCTACATAGTATATCAAACTCAGGTTTCTTGTCGCTTTTATTAGGGTAAGGTTTAAATGAGCCTCTTTGGATAAAATGATTAATAGTATTTTTGCTGCATAGAAAAGGCAAAAGTTGAGAAACTGGAAAAATAATGCTTGAACTTCCCAGTGTGGGGTGGGGGCATTTTCTGGAGTAAAGTGTATGTTCCTTAGCACATTTTAGTGATCGCCATGATTGGACCCTGCCTGTTTCACCAATCTCACCTGCCATCACTTCCTACTCTAAACTTTATTATACAATCATATTGAATGGAAATCTTCATTTCCAAAATCATGCATTCATCACTTCTGTGATTTGCTGAATGTGTTTTCCTCTGCTTGGAGCATATCTTCCATCCACTATCATCTTCCGTCTTCTGTCAACTTTCTGTTGATCCTTCCAAATCTTCATCTCTTCTCTGAAATCTTCCTCCCCTCATCTCCTTCCTTTATCACTCTTTTCTTTGTACACATTTGATACACTTTCATAATTTTACCAACATGGAAACTGTTATTTGTGTACTTACTTATTTTTGAAATGTAGTCTTAATTTGTAGCTCATGCAGACTAAACTGGTCATGAACTCCTGCTCTTCCTGCTTTAGCCTCCCCAGTGCTGAGATTACAGGTACACCACTACAATTGACATTGTATTTGCTATTCGTCCATTTACTTAATGCAGTGCTGGGTGTTGAGCACAGGACTTTTGCATACTAGGCAAGCAGTTCTACCATTGAGTTCCACTCCTAGTGCTATAGTTGGCATTGCATGCAAATGAAGGATGAGAGTGAGCATGCCTAGGCCTCCTGGCTTTCCTACCTCTGAACCTGCAGGATGACCTTAAGCAAGTCACTTGCCTTTGTTTCTTGCATCTTTTGGTAAACAGTCAGGGATCCTTGAAGAGGACTCTTAGATGCCCTTGCAGGAAATGAGAATGTAGTATGAGCTAGGTTGGAAAGCTTTTTGAAAATTGAAGTTGCTTTTCAAATGGGGAAGAGTGATGATAGCAGAAGGGGGAGCACTGTGGGCTGTTTCTCCCAAGTTGGAGGCAGAAATGGGCCCTGCATGTTAGAGACAACACCAGGAGCAGCCACTAAACTCAGCAGTTGGTACAACTGGATGCTAAAAATCCGCTGCCTAGTAGGAGAGGAGGGATGGGGAGAGGCAGTAGCAGCATGTGGAAGCCCAGCAGGACCTTAGAACATAGTAGGCTGCTTTGAGGAGACAAAGCTTGTCTGCCAGCTTCACAATCTGGAAATGATTTCTCACCAGCCTGTCACTCCTTGAGCAAATGCATCTCTACCACCCTGTTATTCTGTATGGGGTGCAGTAGTTAATGTGTGTTTGTGGCACTGTTACTGCCTAACATATGCATAACTTTCCATATAGAAGCCATCCATTTGAACTAGTACCTTGCAGAGAAGGGAGAGGGACCTTGTACGCATCACATACTTATTATGTGGCAACACTTTACATCTACTACTTAACCCTGTGAACAGCTACTGGCGATGAATTATTTACGCCATTTTACAGATGAGGAAATAAGAACCAGAGTCCCATGGTCTGATAACAAGTTCTTGTAACATGGTCTAATACAAAGATGTAGAAGAAAAACTTGAGCTCAAGTCTGTTTGCCTTTCAAGCTGGACCTATTATGGCATGTCATGTGCTTCTCAGCATCTTTGCAGCTATGACAGGAGTTAGTAACCCTGGAGACTGGGTGCTGTGGAAAGAGGAGACCATGGCTCCGTTCTGGTAGGATGAGCAAATCTCTATAGCAACAAAGATTGCAATGCCCAGCTTGGTAGAAGTCCCACCATATGTCTGTTTGATAGCACATTTGTATTGTTGGAATAATTGAACTCATAAGGCTCTTTGTTGGGTCCAGAAGCTAAAGCAGGGGATGCCTAAGCTATCAAGAAAGTGGGACTCTTGGATTTAAGCCTTAACCAGGTGTTGATAGAGGATTCAGGTCCCAAGACACCTGGTATCTGGCTTCCAGAGTCCCTTCCCCACAGGTGTGTGCTGTGAGCAAGGTGACCCTGTTCTCTTCTCTGTACTGAAACAAAATTAGGGAATCATTTGATTGCATTTTCAAGGCATTTTTATAGTTGACCTGACTATTTCATCTTCACAGTTTTATTGAATTTACAGCATCCTTGCTATCATTATGATGAAAGCTAAATGGCAGAGATTTAGGAGGAAGTCAAATTAATTACACTTCATCCTCTGGGGCCTTCTTCCTAAAGACTTATTTCCTAATCATTCCATTGGAATGAATAGAATGGGTTAAAATTCTAGGTCAGTGAACAAAAGTATATCCCAGCACTCCTTGCCTCTTATAACTGATAGATATCCTTATAGCAAAGGTATGGGCCCTAGAGGTCAGTGCCCATCGTGGT